AGAAACTAGAGAAATTATCTACGAGAACTCTAGAGAAATTCTCGTACTGATCAATTAGGACATTCAGGGGAACATTATCAGATCGAGCAGATCGCCCAAATGCCGGTGGCTGCGATAATTTCTCTGTTTCTGAAGAATTTTCGGGACCCATGCTCTTTTCATACTGGATCGCTTGTGCCTTACAGAAACTGAAAAGTTCTTCCTATATCAAAATATAGAAAAGAAATATTTTGTTATAAAAAGGTTTTATTTTCTTTGCTGATTATTTTGAACATAAAAAATAATAAATCGTTGCAAAAAAAATAATTTTGTGAAAGTGAACTATTTCCTTTAAGCATTATGAAAAATGGTGACAGACGTTTGTGGAGGATTGTCGACGAGCTCTTGTTCCGTGAGCAGTACTTACACGCTAGCGGAAAATTCACCAATCAGCGCTCGGCGGTACTCGACGCTGATTGGTCCGACGCTCGTGACGAAATTGCGGGGGACCGCAGTTATTCTCTATGGACCCGAATAGGCTTTTGGATTTCGGAGGGGTTTCTTTAAAATTATATGCTGTTTCGAGCTGTTTTCGGCTCTCTCTATCGTCTGGAGGTTTCGAAAGATGCTCTCCAGAGATGGCGCTAGTAAGTTTGGCTGACATGACGTCATGCTTAAAAGTGATGGGTTTTGTGAGAGCAAATTTAATAATAGTTGAAAATTTTGTACTTTTGCTAAATTGAGAAAAAATAAATATACAATTGTTCAAAACAGCGTTTTCCTCATTCATCCTTCATTGTTTTGAGAGAAATATAGACAGTTTAAATCTTTTTTCTTGACCGCAATTCGCACACGCACTAAATTAAAAGCTGGAGTTTTGTGTGTTCGTAAATCGTGATTTGAGAAAATAAATTGACAATAATCTTTTGCACTTTTGCTTTACAATCATTTTTTAATGCAGATGAATGCATAAATTATTCAAAAATAGGCATATCTGTGAAACATTATGATTTTCCACAAGCAAATTTTCTAAAAACTTGAACTACTTACAACTGACGAACGCATCCAATAATCTGGATGTCTTAGGATGAGTTCGTCATTTTTTTCCCAAGGAAATACGATACAGTTTAAGCTACTTTACCGATTTATTAGGGTACTTTTGCCAATGAATTATTAAATAAATGACAACAATTAATCTCATTATCAACCATACTCGCAAGAATTTTCTTCGCATAAGCGCGAACACATCCGCGCTTTCATGAAAAGTAACGCCTGTAGATGTCAGGACTGCTGCTTTATGTTTCGCAAGGTGGCGCAGCGCGCAGGGTACCGACTACCGAGGCTGAGGTCTCCAGACTTTCCACCACGATTTAGCTTGGAAATGGCCAATGGGGAAGGTCTCACCAAAAAAACGGACGCCCTTTTACACAGCTGCAAAACGAGAATGAATTATTGGCATAGCTGACCATACGTCCCCTCCCCCTCTCCGCCCCAGCTCAATTGGAAATATCGCCTATTTTCCTTAGTCAGTTATATTTTGACTAATTTCTCCACTCTTCCCAGTAAACCTTAACATGCATGATGCAGATGTCCACTGCGTAAGTCGTGTGCTTGCGTAAGTGTGCCAACTATATAGTGCTGCCTACACTCTACAGTGCCTACTGCTTCCACCATTGTCGTTATAATTGGTGATTCTCAGGTCAAAAGTTACACAGTGGTCTCAGAGAACAATAGAGTTTCAACAAATTAACGATTCAAACCGTTGCATTCTACTTATATTCCGGTCAGTTCTGCTACTAAACGATTCCGGCAAAACACTCTTTAGCTTATGTATTAGCGAACCACCACACAAAATTCGCCCAATCAATGGTCAGTTATTACTGCTGGGCTGAACCGTCATACGCTATATAGCCTATTGCAGTCAATATTTTCAGAACGATACCGACTGACGAAACACAACGTATTCGCGGATTCGCACATACGTTGGCACCCAGGTGGCCTGTCAGCAGCCGCACAAATTGAGATGGTACACCGTAAAGCATGCCTTTCCACACAGGCACAAGCATAGAGACACAAATTCTCAAAATCCAAACTTATTCCAATACTGGTCAAATACTAATAGGCATAAAGTTTTGAGGTTTTCTCATGTTCATTCTTCTTTCAACACACGCGGCAGACTGCAGCAGAACATCTCACAGAGCTGCGCTGGATGCAGTCATGAGCTGGGACACGGTTTGTGACCAATGGCCGATCGGGGGTGCCAGCCTCCTCCCGGCACGCGATGCACTGGCCGCCGCGCAGTCGATGTCGGGGCACCGCCGGCATTCGCCGACAGGGTTCCATCCGATTCGGTGTATTGGTGGCAGCCCGAACAGTGACCCACGCGAAGCTGGTGGACGTTGTTGTTGTTGTTGTTTGACCCCCCGGCTACCGCCGGGGCGGTAGCGTAGCCGACCCGCTCTTGTGGGCCATGTATCCGGCGGCCAAGGCCGCCACCACGTCGTCGCGCCGGACATCGTAGGCCGCGCCGATGATGTTGCCCAGCGCACGGAGCCGGGGGCCGTACAGGCACGGGCATTCCAGCAACACGTGCGCCGGGGTGTCCGCTGCTTCAGAGCAGACTAGGCAGCGGCCCGCAGGGCATTACTTGTCGTCGCATTGAGCGCACTCAGGTGTAGGTCTTCGACCAATCCGGTGGAGGTACTGCTCCGATCGGGCCCAGTGGCCAGACCGGAGCTGGTGGATGTCGACGGCCTCCTCCCTGGTGGCGGTCCGGACCGGGGCGGGGGCGCGGTCCCCCATGACGGTGCGGTACCAACCGGCCGGCCAGTCCGCCTGCCACTTCCTCTTGGAGTGCCGCGCGACAGCCCGCGTAAGAGTGCGGACATCCACCGGCGTTGACTGCTGGGGGAGAGCGGCCGCCTCCTTGGCCAGGGCGTCCGCTCTTTCATTACCGGCGAGCCCACAGTGGGCCGGGACCCATTGCAGCGTGACCGTGCTGCCGTCGGCCGTCATGCGCCGGAGCTGGGCCCACAGCCTGGCGCCCAGTGTCGAGGCCTGGGCCGCAGCGCCTCCAGCCAGGAGCAGCAGAGCCGCCTTCGAGTCGTGGACGAGCTGGTGGACGTCGATGGCCGATGAGCGATGCCCTTCCGCGACCGGCGGTGGCAGTCGGTCCCACATCAAGAACAGATACCAGTCATGCGGTCAGTCGGCGACGGCGCGGTCGCGAGCCGATCTGATGGTCGCGCGGTGGGCGTTGCCGACGTCCACCGGGACCGTCGACTGGGGGAGCGCGGCCGCCTCTTGGCCGCCGCCTCTGGTCGGCGCGCTCGTTGCGCTGTGGGACGGCATCCACTGCAAGTCGTTCACTGTGAAGCGGTCGTTTGACCGGGCCTGGCAGGCGGGGAAAGGGGGCCTCAGATGAAGTAAAACCATCCCTCAGGCCAGCTTGAGCTGGCTCTCCACCTCACCATGTTAGATAAGCGGACATCCTCGTGATCATCGCAGCGATGATTGCCAATTGGTGTGTCATTATGGGAGAGGATGCCAGCCTCCTTTGCAAGATAGTCTGCCTTTAATATAGTGCAGCCCGACCCATTGCCTGTGGCAGCAGACTGGGATTGATAATGCAGTGCAGGACACACCAAACGTAAGCGGCCATCTGTACCCCCTGTGCAGTAGGGCTGACTCAAGAGCCCAGAGTTGCCCTCCCCCACCATTCTGTGCACGTGATAACTGGATGGGGCATGCCATGGTCAGCATCTGTTCAAAAGCTGCCCTAAGCATGTAAAGCTCCACTGGCATGCTTGAGCATGGTCACAGTCAGTTCTCACTTCTCAGTTGAACCTCCAATGGAAACCCATCACAAAGTAGAGATCAGGGCGCCTCTCACACTGCAGCACACTCAACGACTGAGGCACCATCTCTGTGGCATCTCATCACTTGCAGGTGGTTCTTGCCAGGAGCAATGCCAGCCACGCACATCAGGTGATAACAGCAGTGTACAACTGCCATCTACAAGCATCCATGTTCTTTCTGGTTTTCTCTTGTTGAGATCCACTGCCATGCATGAACTTGATGGGCTTTTGCTGCGCTCCTCCCATGTGCAGACAGGTTTCTGCTGAAACAAAGCAAAACAAATGTGATTAATAATGGCCCTGTTTCACCATCCAGACACTGTGTGCACTGGTAGCTACGGCATACCATAGCATCACTCAAATGACATTGCATGTGATACCTTAGTTTATGATGAATCACGTTTGGAACAGAGTGAGAGGTTCTGAAAAACCGTACCAAGAACAGAGGTTTGAGTTCAAATACTGCTAGCATGCTGCTGGTGCTGGTACCGCAGCGTGCTAGCGTTCTGGGATGCTGTCATAGCTTAGCGTCACAGTGAAGTTTGTTGACACTGCCATGGAAACCCAATGCTCTGACACACGCAGCGCACTGCAGTGCTCTGCCGTGAAACACCACCCATGAACGTTGGTTGCATTGGCATGACCAGGATCGGAGCAGTGTGGCAGACAGTGATTTTAATTTTAATTGCACTTCCTAGAGATTAACAAGTTGTTGGTGAAATTGCTATTCATTATTCCTATTACCATTGTCTAAATTTCACATTTCAAGACAGCATTGACATGTTATATAAAATAAGGTTTAGACTTCAGGTGGTCCCGGATTCAGTTTAAGTAGCACAAGGGCAAAAATTAAAAAATTGTCAAAAAATATTTAAAAAATACCTGCCTTCATCAACACCTCATCTAATGACATGCAATGCAATCAAACACAACAATTGTGGCCCTAAAAGCAAAAACCGTTTGAATAACAATGTCAATGTAATATTTTGCAACCGCTGCACCATTACTGTCACGTACGCTATCCCTAGATTGGTTGCTGGTAAGTAGTGGTTGTCGTCATCAACTCGTCATGCAGCAGCTGATTGGGATGGGCGGGGCCTATTTTTATCCAGACGATAGAGAGAGCCCTGTTTTCGAGTTGAGTGTTTTTGCCGCGCTGGGAGGTGTGGTCGTGGTGGCACTCGGGTTTATATAGCCTTGGTACAGCATCAGCTCTGTTCAGCATATCAGTTATCCCCTCTCGGAACTCGGCAGCACTCTCAATATCATCTAGCATCTCTGCCTCTGAGGGGAAACTGAGCTCGGCTTCTGACTGTGCTTCATCCAACAGTGCCAGTCTTTTCTCACAATCACCTTTAGCTGTCTGAAGGGCGCTTACATCAATGTCTTGGCACTCGAGCAACTCCTCCAACTTACGGCGACAGCGACTCATCCATCCTCGCGCTGCCGCTCTCTTTCGAAGCTTCTCAGTGCTCATCTTGACGCGAGATCACAAAACGAAAATCAAAGATCCCGTTCCCGAGCGTTTCGGCACCAAATATAACGAATTAAATCACACTCTGTATTGAAACCCATGTTGAAAAGAGAATACTTCAAGCATCGATTTCAGCCAAAAAAGAACAAAAACGTCCGATCAAGAACTTCAGACTTCAGAATCACTCGAAACTAGCCGACAACAACAATAAGGCGCAAAATACCAGCCTTGACAAAGATCACGTGGCTCACCACGACCACACCTCCCAGCGCGGCAAAAACACTCAACTCCAATTCGCACGTCCGTGACATCAATTAAATGCAACACAACAAAACGACGCAGATCTAATAGGGAGTCACAACTAAATTCACAACAATACCTAACCCATATTTGCTCAATATAAAAGTGGCTGCCATCTGATGAGAAGCATATTCTGCAAATAATTGCTGAGCACTTACCGCTCCCTGATTTAGATGTGACTTTGATATCGACCTGATATCACCTAGATTTGTTTTAGATGGTGTGTGATTTGCAGTCAACTAGAACCAGCTGCTGAATAATTAGCTGATAGTGCTTTAACATCCATTTGGCGCACATATGTTGTAATCAGTACAAAAAGAGCATGCTCCCAAAAACAATATAACCTCCCTCACCTGACCGGTATTAGTAAGCCTGGCGTCCCAGGAAGATGCCAGATTGGGACGATGGAGATATATAGACCAAAACAAACCTGACCTGACCTAACCATACCTACAACCTACAAACCTACAACCTACAACCTACAAACCTACAACCTACCCTACAAACCTATAACCTACCCTACAAACCTACAAACCTACACCTACAACATCTGGCATCTTCCTGGGATGCCAGGCTTACTTATACCACCTGACCTAACCAAATCTAACTGGCCTTAATCCTACCTGGCCATTTTTGACCATTTTTACTGGGTCATGGCCATACTCTTTTCATACTGGATTTCAATGCACACATTTGGCACTGAAACTGCAGTTGGCCCGCAGCCCATATTCTATAAAGGCATTGTATTCAGTATTCAAACAGATGTACCTAACCAGAGGACGGTCTGCCTTATGCCCTCAACTCAGCCAACTCAGTCAATTTATTTATCTACTATACTATTTGTTCATTGGCTTTATATTTTGTAATAATGGTATGACTTTTTTACATTGTATGTCCAGTGAAAATACTGAATAAGGAACTTTTCACACACTTAAAGGAAGATGTATTTTTTACATGTGCTCTTGTTTCCCCTTTGTGCTGTAAATGTCAAAGATAAGTTGTAATTGGCATGTCATACTGGCTCAGAAAATGTCAAAGATAAGTTGTAATTGGCATGTTACCTCAAGTTAAACATTTTTTGCATACAAATACCAAGCTTCACCTTAGGTTTACCTGTAAGTAGGTAAGTTATATTTGCTAATGACCTTTCAGACTTTTCCATCTTTTTAGTGTAATTTCTCCTTCATTGTTATCACTTCTGCCATCAGTTTGTCTGCAGAGAGCATTGACAATGCAGTGTATTATACCGGGATCAAATATCAAAGGTGAGTTAAATGTTACTATTTAGAAACACATAGCATGCTATTGCTATGTTTATTATTTATTCTTCTTCTTTCCCCTGTTTAAGCCAAAGTGTTCTTTGTAGTGTTAATATTTTTCACTCATTTCTGTTCAGCGCCTGAAAGCATTTTGTTGCCCCTTGGGTATCTTTCATTGCTAAACTTTGTGAACTATGTGATGTCTCTCAGAGGCATGTTATTATTGTGATGTCCAGTGCTCATGATAGTTTTGCTTAGAACATCATCTTGGATGTAGGTAGTCCTGCTCTAATAGCACTTGGCTGACGGCCCGGCGCCTCTGCCGGTTCCGCCGCCGTCCGGCAGTGTTTGGCCGCGCCGTGCACGCGCTGGCCAGGATCGGTGACGAGCTGTACGTGGACCCGGAGAGGACGGCCGTCTCGCTGCGCACCGTCAACTCGTCACGATCGGCGTACGCGTCGGTCGAATTCCAGCCGACCTTCTTCGCGCAGTACCAGTGCGGCGCTGGTGCCGGCGGCCAGGAGCCCGTCAAGTGCAAAGTGGCCCTCAAGGTAAGATATCCTCCAGGAAGGTCGGGTGTCCTAACTATCACCTATTATGAACCCAGTTGGTCAGTCTGGATAGATGCGCCAGTCCATGGCATTTGAAAACATTTCTATGAGGTACATATGTCAGAATGATCTACAGTTACCTATTGAATGGTCTTGTTTTTGAATGTAGTGGACATCCTAGGATAAATGAAATGTGAAACACTGGTGTTTGTTATTTCTAGGCTTGTTTTTCGGTGTTGGGCCTGACGGCAATATTCGCCACTGTTTCCAGGCATGTTTGTCGGTTTTTCGGTCTCTGGCATCGCTGGACAAGTCAGTGGAGCGTTGCAGAATAGCCCTGGAAGAGAGCAACTCCCGTATGGTCGTGCAGCTGGAATGCAAACACAAAATAAAGAAAACCTATCACATCGCCTTCATAGAATGTGAAACACTGCAGGCATGTAAAATACTGGATTGGATGGATTGCTACAGTCATCTGTGACTGGAAAATACGCGCACTAACAATATTTAGGCGTCGTAGCGCCATGCTAACACAGTGCTATCAGTCTGTTTCCGCGGTGTCTGGCATCTGTCGGCGAGTTTTACCGTTGCTCTGATGGCGCCGAGTCCACCATCCCGCTGAGCCGTTTGCTGGTCCGACGGTCCCGTCCGTCTCCGCAGGCGGTGTACTCGCCGAGCGAGGCGTCCAACCGTCTGACGGCGGCGCCGCGCCTGCTGGTGGACGCGGCGGCCAACTTCCTCACCGGCCAGGAGGAGGTGACGCTAGCCGTCTCCCACCGGCAGCTCGGCCTCCGCAACTACACCGACGACGAACCGGGTACGACCGCTGCGCCGGTCACCGCGAGTGGGGTACAGGTACTATACACTCCATAACGATAGACACGGCGCATCAGAGGCGGACCTCGAGCCGCATAGTGTTGGGGGCTGGGTTACATTGGATTGAGCATTGGAAGCGCTGTCTCTGTTGTAACCACGATACGATAGGTTTAATAATGACTTAGTTTCCGTGGTTGGAGCTGTAATGGCACTCGGGACTTGAAGCTGTTGACTGCAGCAAACGACCGTACTCTTCCGTTGATGTGCCCCACATCCATCCACAGCGGTCACCCCTCCCAAACCGACACGGATTCTGACCTCGTGTGTCCGTCCGTCAGACCCGGGGAAGGCGATCCGCACAGCCCTAGCTCTGAACCCAGCCGAGTTCGACGGCTACTCGATCGGCGCAGAGTGCGAGGTCACCTTCTGCCTGCGCGAGCTGCGCGCTGTGCTGCTCTTCAGTGAGCCACTGGCGGCGCCCCTCACAGTCAACTTCGACGGACCCGGACGGTGAGAAGGGGAGGGAGGGGTGATGCGGGGGATCGGGCGGAAAGAAGAAGAAAGGGAGGGAGGGGGCGGATGCAGAGGGAGAGAGGGAGGGAAAGTGAGTACGAGACACGAGTTCGCGTTTATAGAATGCGAAACACTACAGCTGGTATACTTATACTTAAAATACTTATAATGGATAGCTACAGTCTCATGACTGGAAAATAAGCGCACTAACATTATGTACAGTAACATAATCTAACAAATCTCGTAGTAACCGGAGAGTTGGAGGGAAACTGTTAGGACCGTCCCGTCAGAGTTCAGACCCATCCCCCACTGACCGTCCCGTCCGGGCCGACCTTTTCCCACTAACCTACCCCTACCCCTACTCTACTACTACTACCTACTAACCTACCTACCCCTACTGACACCCCTCTCTTTCTGACCGTCCCGTCGCTCCGTCAGGCCCATCGTGTTCTGCTGCTCGGCGCCGTCCACCCTAGAGGCGCACTTTGTACTGGCCACTCTGGCCGAGCGGACCGAGTCGCAGGCGGGCTCGCAGCCGGCGCCGGCCGCCGGCGTCACAGCCCACACGGGGAACGGGGTGAGTCCAACGGCTAGAGCGTGTTCCGATTGCCGAATAAATACGGTGTCTTATGTTACAGCTCAGCATCACTTGCGGATAAGATAGGGTTCGAAATTAAATTGCTTTCAAAATATCGAGTTAAATGTTATTATCAGACATGTACCCGGAGTTGTGATGGTGGCAAGTGAGCAAAATTTCAAGACATCGCATTGACCATTCAATGCATTATTCTCCTTCGGCCACGTTGTGACGTTGTGATGAGTTGGTATTTGGTAGTGACTGGTGACGGTGGTAACTCGTGACGATGGTGATGACGCCGTGATGGTCTTGTGAAGGTCGGCCTGTCCGTCTCCCAGGATCACGTGTCGGCGGCCGCGACGTCCCACAACGGGACTCTGAGCGGCATAGTGCGGCCCAACAGCCGGTGTAACGGGCGCGTCTCGGACACACCGACCCCGCGCCTCAACCCCGGACAACCAGGTGAGACTCCCCAGTGGCGAGTGCTCACTCTCCGACAGGGAGTGAAATGTTCGGCCCTTCCTCTTCTCGGCATTTTAGATTCTCGACTTGCAGGTTAGGTGCCGTAAATGAGTGTACCGTAAACTGGGGTGGCTTTGAACTTCCGGGTGACTTTGAACGCCGTTCACTTCTTAGAGGGAATCACAAATATCTTAAAAATGTGAATTATAAATGCAGCCATGTTTTTTTACAGATAAGAATGCACATTTTTGAAAATGTACATGACATATTGGAAGATATGTACCTTAGTACATAGGAGTAAAAAATCAAAAACTAAATCAATGTTTTTAGCTTTTTGAGATATACCCGTAAACTTCCATATGGCATGGACTAGTCATTATGGTCATGGAACGGAATGACATATTTTTGCCATCCTCGATGGTTGTCCTATATTGCCTAATCATAATTTTTTAGCTTGCTTGAGCATGGCCAATGCTGTGAAGGGATTTGTAAAAGCATGACATTTTTGGAACTTTGCTGGGGTGACTTTGAACGTGTTCAATGTAGCCCCGGTGACATGCATGCCTGACTTGTTGTTCAAAAGACTTGTTGATCAAAGTAACCCCACCAAAATACACTGCATACATTTTGCGCTACAAGATAGGGGTGTAACAGAGATCGACCAGCTGGTGTGCATTGTGCAAGCTAAGCCAGCCTGACATGGACAGGAAGGGCAGGCTCCACTTCAAGAGTGAGGAGCTCTCACCGTCACCATACAAACTGATGCTGGGGTAAACTCATGACTGACGTGTTCTGACGCTAGCAGGTGTACCTAGTGTTAAGTGTTAGTATTAAGGTGTTAAGTCGGGTGTCAAGTGTTAACTGTGTCCAAGGATACTCTGTACTCAGGTGTTCTCAGGTGTTCTCAGGTGTATTTCATGCATGCAGACCTAGTCGAGTGCATGCATCACACTTGAGTTGAGTTGAGTTGAATCAAGTGATTTCATATCCTGTGAGTGTTGCTCCACAGTGCCTATGCAAGTGTTAAGGTGAGTAAGTAAGGTGTTTGCCATGAAAGATGCTTCTTTTTACTCACTGTCTGTGTGCTAATTTCTGTGAATATGGTGTTTGATTCATCAGCAGAGGCTGCTACAAGAAGTTGTGTTTTTTTGCTTGACGAGCTCGCCTTGTTTTGACTACTACCCCCAGAAGGACTTTTGCAGGCATAAATTGTTTTTGGCCTCTTTTTTAAAAAGCATCAGGGTGTTCAAAGCCACCCCAACCGGCACGAGAAATTGCACACCTACTGAGATAAATGATGAAAAACACAGACTGTTCAAATTCACCCCATTGCATGGTGACTTTGAACACCAGACATTTTTTTTTTAAAATAGGGAAATGGCCATACCTAATTTTTTGTTGACACCATGGATGGATAAGGCCAGACTCAGCCCACAAAATAGTCCATGTTTCACATTCCTATCTACAGTAGCTTTCAAGATATTCACCGATAAGTCTCAAAACTGTCCAAAGTCGCCCCGTTTTACGGTAATTGGAACTCTTTCCATCTAAAGCTGTTTTTATATTTGATTCTGCACTGCATCGCTACCTCATTCTGCCGTATCAACGTCCAGTTGACTGCATAAACCGCGTGCCGTTTACGCCCGGGTGTTCTGACCTCACTGTCCACCCACGATGATGGCTGTTTGCTGTGTGTGACGCCTCCGCCGTCTGTCTGGCAGCGTGCACCAGCACACCTCTGGACCTGGAGCCGGGCGCTGGCGACGGTCCGCCGCCGTCCCCGCCCTCTGCCGCGGCGGACGGCGATGACGCCATTCCCGGCACGCCGCCGGCCAAGCGGGCCAAGTTCACCTTCCAGCGGTGCTTCAACCTGACCATGGACCCGCTACGGGTGCCCGGCCACGAGCGGGTGCTGGCGCCCGACTCTGACGAGGATTGACGGACCGGCACGCTGTCGGACCGGGCGGCACAGGGCGTGCTCCGGCCCGCGGCGCAGGGGATGAGGGGAACGCGGCTGTGATTCGTGAATCGTGATACCGTGGCAGTACAAAGAACGGCGGCGTGGGGAGAGAAACCACGTCCGCCACCGGGTGGGTCTCACGGCGAGGTCTGGTCGGCGCATGGTCTATCCCCACGGTGTTTTTGCGGGTAATGTCGATGTAAGTAAAATCGACCTTTGTTGCCATTATTCCATTTTCATGCCTTGTTCACCAATTGTTGTGTATTGTCTCATAGATAATCAATTTTCATACGTGATGTGCACTCCAGGTAATAAACAACATAAAACATAACTGCAACTGACTGCACCAGCAATCTGAGCCCGCCGTCACATAGCGAAACCGATCCACACGCAAACACCGGCTCCAGGGCTGCCATACGCACAGAGCGCTGCCACACGGACCGACCAGCGGCCTCCGACAAGTACTCTAGCAGCTCAGAGACGCGGCGGGCGGCACACATACAGCTGGTGGATGGCAATATCTGGCCTCATAACCCGGGAAACCACGCACCCCGGCTGATAATCTGAATGTTACGCTCGCACGCCGTATATACATTTTCTAGTAGACCCTCTTCGGTTTCCAGGCCACGTAGGCTGGAATGTTTCTGCGGTCACTGTGAGCGGCCGGCGGCACGGAACGCATCTGGTCCACGCACCGATCACCGGTCACAGCTCACCAGTCACGGGTCACAGGTCACCGGTCGCCGGCGGAGCGCTCGGCCAGCTTCTGTCGGCGCCACTCCTCGATCTCCGCCTTGAGCTCGGCGGCCGGCTCCACCTGCTCCATGGTAAGCGGCTTCCGGTTGAACGGGTCCGACTGGTCCGACAGAAGGTGCCTGTGGCGGCGGACGGAGAGGGGCGGGTCAGTCGTACTGCCGTGGTATACGACCAACACATTTCAAAGCACGGTGATAAAGCGTAGGTGCTTTGCGAGATGGCATCGAACGAACGTCTCGATACGAAAATAACTAAGGAGTAAACCCATCAGCAGGACATTCCCTTATCGCAACATAAAGCCTCTGAAGGTCATCGTCTGGCGAAGGTCTACCTGTCAGATTTAACTGACTTTAGTGGACCGGTTACAGACTCACCGGGATGGGGCGTTAAATACCTGACAGCTGTAGCGATGGTGAACCCGTCACACAAACTCACCAGGCAATAGTGCTTCTGTCGTAAACTCACCGTGCGATGGTGGACCTGTCGCAGATGATGCCGGACGTGGGCAGCCGTACCGGGTCCGCCATCAGGCTGGAGATGATGGGGTCCAGGAAGTGGTCGGGCGCCTGCGCGGCCAGGTCCTCCTCGGCTTTGAGCGCGGCGCCCGAGCCGGCCACCTGAGCGGCCACCGACTCCACGGCCGGGATCAGCTGGCCCTGGCCGATCCGCGCTGGTGGGACACACAATCAAAGAGTCAGTAAAGGCTAAAGAGTACAGCTGAGCACAGAGAGACAAACAGCCACCGACCCAACGACCGGGATCCGCTGGTTCTGGCCGATCCGGGCTGGTGGGACGCACCGATTCACAATACGAAGTACAAAACAATAAAGCATTCCACGGCCGATACTACCACCAGTAAAACGCCTTTTGGGCGAAGAACGAGCGAGCGAGATAGTGAGCCCTGCACGTGCGGAAGGGCGAGAGGGTGCTTCCAACGGGCTTGCGCAAAGCACTCTTCTAACTGGTCGCCAGCGGTGTGCCAAATTTGAACGCAATCGGCCCAGCCGTTCCTGAGATCTGGAAGCGGCATTCTGCACGTGCGCACGTGCAAACGGGGTCCAAAATGACTTTTGCACGGCACCCTACTAACTGGTCCCCAACCGTGTACCAAATTTGAGCGCAATCGGCCCAGCCGTTCTCGAGATCTGGAAACGTCCCCTGCACGTGCGCACGTGCAGTAGCACCCTAACCGCAACACATGGGAATGCATTGCCTGGTGGGTGCCTACCTGTATGCCAAGTTTCAGCGAAGTCGCCCCAGTAATTACCGAGTTACTGAAATGGGAACAAATTTGGCACCTCTTATTGTTGTATTTTGCACGTGCACTGGGGGTGACCCACATGCATCGAGAGTATCCTATTTTGGGTAGAAGGGATGCTGCTACCCTACAAAAATTACCGCAAGTCAATCGCCCAAGCGGCTGCTGAGATATGAGCCTCTCAAAATCACTACTTTTGCAAAACAGCTTGAACACCCTTGACTTTTCACGTGGCACGTGCCACGACGGTCACTGAGATGTATCAAAAGTAGTCAATTACGGGGTAGAAGGGATGGGGCTACCCAACAAAAAAGACCGCAGGCCAATCGGTCCAGCGGTTGCTGAGATATAAGCCTCTCAAAAGCGTTACAGGCCGGGCCGGGCCGCTCATACTTAGATTTTTCCGTTATATTGAAAAGACTCACTTCGCTCGCTGCGCTCGCTCGCTCGTAATAATCCCTCTCTCCACTCGCGGTAGCGGCGGCGTCTTACCGAGCACTTGGATGGCGTCTGTGAAAAGCTGCGGCGAGTAGGAGCGCTCGTCGGCCGCCACCGCCGCGCAGAACTGCTCACACTCCAGCTGGGTGTAGATCTTGCAGATACCAGTCACCAACTCGCCCGGCTTGAAGTCGTAGTCGTCAGAGGTGTCGCGTACCTGGCAAGTGGAGGGAGCAGACGGGTGTCACTTGCACATTTCGACCGTTAGGTAGCTTTCACGATCCCCCCTCCCTGATAGTCTTTTGGTACCGGAAAAGTGTCAAGGCCGCAGCCTACCGAGTTAAATATGTTAACACCTTTTTGCTCATGACGCGCACAAGTTTATCATCTGCAAGCGTCCACCAGAGTAGAAAGGCAGTAAGTCAAATATTGCAGTTCATCTATGATAAACACTGGTTTATATAGCTGAGTGAAGTGAAAAACTTCAGTTACGGCTCCAGCTCAATTGGATCGTAATGCTGCTCACTGTAACTGACCATGAGCTCCCTCTGTTTCGGCTCACCCCGAGCTCCCCGCGTTTGGGCCCACCTTGAGCTCCCCACGTCTGGACGCGCCCCGAGCTCCCCGCGTTTGGGCCCACCTTGAGCTCCCTGCGTTTGGGTCCGACCAGCTGCAGCAGGAAGTAGTTGAGCATGGCCACCACGCGGTCCACGATGGCCGGCTGCAGAAAGATGGAGCGGATCCCCGAGGTGAGCATCTCCAGCGCGCTGATCGTCTCCCGCGCCATGATGTTGTGGAAGCGCGCCAGCATGCCCATGTGCCGGAAGTTGGCCTCCTGCTGGTGTCGCTGCTGGGCCGGCAGGGCGCTGTACTCCTCCGTCTGACGGTGCTGGACCTGGACGTGGGAAGGGGAGGTGGTCAGGGCGCTGTACTCCTCCGTCTGACGGTGCTGCAGCTGGTGGGAGAGGAGAGGAGGGGGGAGTATGCTCAGATCGCTGTACTCCGTCTGACGATGCTGCAGCTGGTGGGAGAGGAGAGGAGGGGGGAGTATGCTCAGAGCGCTGTACTCCGTCTGACGATGCTGCAGCTGGTGGGAGAGGAGAGGAGGGGGGAGTATGCTCAGAGCGCTGTACTCCGTCTGACGATGCTGCAGCTGGTGGGAGAGGAGAGCTGGAGGGGGGAGTATGCTCAGAGCGCTGTACTCCGTCTGACGGTGCTCTACCTGGAAGGGGGAGGGGTCAGGGTGCTGTACTCCTCCGTCTGCGGTCTGACGGTGCTACACCTGGTGGGGAGAGAGGGGGGGGCGTTCCACGCTCAAAGGCCAGGCAAGGCGGTGTACTCCTTTGTTTGACAGTGTTGTACCTGGTAAGAAGGGAGAGGGATGTTCAATGCCCTCAAGGCATTGAATTGGCAGGGCGCTCGCTGAACTCTTCCGACTGGCGGTGCTGGAGCTGAATACACGGATAAAATCGTATTGAGGGACCCCGCTGGTAACCTGCCGGCTAATACTGTCGCGTAGCTGTGTTTAAGATCGAGTCTTTACCTGGTCCCTGAGCTGCGTCATGTAGCTGAGCGCCTCGTCCAGAAGAAAGACGGCGTCGTTCATCAGCAGGTTGATGAAGCGCAGGAAGATTGGAGGTGTCGCCGAGTCCATGTCCCGTTCGGCCGACTCGGACAGAGAGCTGCAAGGAGCATCGGAGGGTAATCGACGGTGATCAACCCAGCACTAGTACGTGTAAATCAGTTAGGAAATGTAAGAACTAAAAACAATTCAGCGAGTGCGAATGCTCAACTGACACGCTTGCGCTCCCCCTCCAGCCTCCTGACTCCTAGCGTTGCCCTAAAAAATCGCGCCATACCTTATACAGCGTACTTACAAGAACATGTTTCGGTGCCGGTCGACGCTCCAGAGGTACTTCATGATGACGTACATGGGCCGCCGGTAGTTGAACTTCTCCTCGAACTGCACGCTCTGGCCGGTCATCTCGATGCTGACGAACACGTGCAGCAGGGCGGGCACTACCTGGTCGGCCAGCTCGTGCGACAGGAACAGCTGCTGTCGCTGGTAGCCGGCGCTCCTGCGGCCGGACGTGGGGTGGTCACTGGGGGTGACCGGCTGGGACTGCATGTACGACAGAAATCAATGGAGGCGCTTGTTGTTGAGCTTCTCTTTCATACAACTGCTGACTGTAGCCGTCTTTGACATCATTGAACAGATTTATCACCCCTGTGAAAACTATGTTAGCAGACACAGTTTAATTGATTTAACCCTACACACTACAGCGGCATCTACCTCAACACCGCGCAGACGACCTCCTTCGCCCCACACTCGCCCTTCCCCACTCACAATAGGCCGTGGCCGTGCTCCTCTCCAAAGTCGGGCAGCAGCACCTCCAGACAGGCGGCCAGCTGGGCGCGCAGGTGCGGGTTGCGCATCCGCTCCGTGGAGCCCATAAAGACGAGGATAAATGAGAACATGTGTCGGCAGGCGTCGGGCGCCACGCTCCACTGCTCGGGGGTGAAGCGGCCCACGGCCAGCAGGTGGGAGGTCAGGTTGTCGGCCAGCATCTCGGGGATGCAGGAGAGGCTCGGGTGGACTGGGGACGGGAGCGGGAACGTCAGCTCGCGGCGGCTCCGCAGCGGCTCGTCTGCGAACGGAAACGGACCGAGTCACAACCGTGGAAGCTGATATATGAAACGCAACCAGATGTTCACGGGTGATTGAGGTAAGTCGTATTGGAAGAAATCACTGGAACCAACAGATATCCACATGGAAGCAAAGTTATCACAATATCATCGATCAATCTAACAGATAATCACATAAGATTGCGGCAGAGGACGTCTGCGCATCTGTCGCGCCGTACCCGCGCCCATCCCGGTGCCCACGGCTGCTCGGCTCGCCCCGGTCAGCGCCGCGGGCACCTACTACCTACCGTCTGCGGGCCGGGCGGCCTGCTGCGTCAGCCACACGGCCGTGGCCGTCAGGAACTGCGAGGCGTGCTCGGTGCGGCTGGGCTCCGTCAGCGCCGCCTTCAGGCACAGGTAGCGCTGCATCAGACCCTCGAACCGGCCCTTGATGCCCTCCAGCTCGGCGTCCTGGCCGGCGGCCTGAGTCAGCGCGTCCCGGTACACGCGCTGCATCCGGCCCAGCTCGCCGTTCAGCTTCGACAGCTTGTCCTGGCGGCACGGACAGAGCGCGGCGGCACGCTCAGCGACCACGGAAGTACACGGCGGCAGGCCAGTGACCGGTCGGAATAGCCCGGAAACGCAGCTGCACGAGGTAGGTAGCACGGGAATCAACACAAAACACTGATTCATGGCCGCAAAGCTATGTAACACTCGGACAGCAATAGCAAAGGATTGCAAATAGAACACAAGGACAAGAACGAACGCATTGAATGATAACTGAAAACCTGATAATGAGTGGAGGCTTAGAAGAAAATAAAGCATTGACCATGTTTAGCACAGTACCGAAAATTCCTAATACAGATACACAGCGGCGTCAGTCATTACCTGCAGCACCTTGAGTCCCAGCTGGAGCGTCTTATGACAGAGATAGAAGCACTCGGTGCGAAAGTTGAACTTGCCGGGAGCGGGCGGCGGCGCGTCCTCTGGCCTCGGCACCAGGCACGTCTCCTTGTCCAGGTCAGCCAGGTGCTGCCACCGAGCCGCCTGCTGCTCCTCGGAGGTGGGCATCGGCGCGGCGCAGTAGGTCGGGTCCACCTCCAGCAGCTTGGGGCTGTCCAGGTCGCGGACGAACGGCAGCGACAGCCGCAGCAGCACCGAGCCCAGGTTGAGCATGAAGCCGTCGGGCGCCATGTGGCCGCCGCTGCCGTCCATGTCCGTGTGCCAGATTTTGGCGCGGCCGGCGTTGGCGCGCAGGCAGGCGGCGATCCAGCGCAGCAGCAGCTGCCGCGCCCGGCCGCCGCAGCGCAGGATGTTCTCAAATACCTTGTGCACCGTCTCGGCGATGAACCGCTCCGACGTCCAGATGCTGCTGTTGACCACGTCGACGCTCTGCTGGGTCAGCGTCACCGGCTGGTCGAAGAACTCTCCGACTGGGTTCAGCGCCGAAGGCCAGAGCAGCGAGCCGAGCGGCACGCGACAGTAGAGCACACCGCCCAGCGACAGCGTGTCGGGCACCTCGCTCAGCGAGACCAGCGTCTCGGCCAGCGGCGCCATCGTCGACATGAACGTGGCCAGGCTGTACACGAACCGGTCCATGTTCATCAGCGAGCCCTTGGTCTCGCCAACCACTCGCTGGATGTACTGGAACGTCTCCTGGAATATGTCGCGCAGCGGCGCCTCCTCCTCCACGAGCCGCAGCACCACCGCGCGCAGGAAGTCGTCGAACCAGCCGTCGATGGCCAGGTGCGCGCGCAGCGACTCGAAGAAGCTGCGCCGGTTCTCCATGCCGAAAATATCCGGCTGCTGGAGCACGGTGGAGCCGTTCTGCACGATCAGCTCGCGGACGGCGGCGCGCTGTTCGTCGGGCAGCTGGGTGGACGTCTCGGCCGCCACCCGGCCGCTGCACCTCACCAGGTAGGTCCAGGCGTCGCCCTCGTCTGCCGGCCGGTCGGTGACCATGAGCCGCTCAAAGACCGCCTCCTGCAGCGTGTCCAGAGAGAGCGGCGCCCCGGAGGCGGTCAGCTCGGGCAGCAGCAGCGGCGCCGGCCCGGAGCCGGCCGCCGCCAGCCGCCGGCCCGTGACGCCGAACAGCCGCTCCAACAGCAGCGTGCTGCGGTCCGGCGCCGGTCCAGAGGAGCAGGCCGACTTGGCCGGCAGCTCGGCCGCCGCCCGGTCCCGCGGCTGCTGGTCCTGCTCAGACATCCCCTCTGAAATGCACCAGACAGACACTACAATCAGAGGGAGGTGTAGACTAATGCAGACAGATGTGGTGCTCATTCACATTTGAATTGTCACCAGAGAACAAAAGCAGCGAAGTCAAATATATTTATTATTCATACCCAGCTATGAGCTAGTGTCTAGAGGGTATGTAATACAAACTACTCTGTGTAGTTCATTTGCCCCTAGTCTGATAGGAACAACCAAAGTTGGTACTAGTAACTAACCAGATTTTGGTGCTTACTATGCCTGTGGACATGTTACACTTAAATATTCCCTTAATTGCTATAGAATCAGTGCAGCTTTGGTTCCAAACCAGAAAATATCCAGTAAAGATAAATGCCACTGAAAATACACTGCATTCATTTTTCACCACTTCAGTTGAAAATGAAAGTGCATCCTGCTAGTAAGCTTCTATTCTTTTTAGACATTATGAATGTCAAGCTGAAGCATACTGCATAGGTATGTACTAATTGTCCTTCCAGTTATTTACTGATTAAATACCTATATGCACTTTGTACATGACATATAGGTACCTAACTAAGGTTATTGACTCATTTTACCATTCAAAATTTCCACAGATGAAAACTGCTTAGCAAAAACTTGTCATAGATCAATCTAGTTTTGATATTAAGAAAAATAACTATAACATCTGACTAGGGTAGGTAACCATGAATATGATCCATGGTCCTACGATACATGCTTGATGCTATGCTATCTCAAGAAGCTTTATGCAGATTAACAATATTGGGTATCACAGGCAGATCCAAAAAGATGGTCTCCTATGCAGGCTATGCTACAGGATGCATACCTTCCCTTAACGTCTTTTATTTCCAAGAACTCCTAGGGTTTCTATTCCTATATGCCCTTCGGCCTCCTGTGCGGTTTTTGTGCAGTTTCCTGAGCACATTTTCCGAAATAAAATTAGTTCAATTTTCTTTCTATTCTTGAAAAACAACAAATTTTCACCAAATTATGGTGCAGCTAGAAGGCGTTTGCCCAAAGGCCTCCCTCACACACCACATCCTCTCAGGTTTGGGTTACGATTTGCCAGTGATGAGTGAATATCATTCAGCAATAACAAATCACAATGTCCTGGGCCAAAAATTCTTACCAATGCAATAAGTGCTCGCCAATTTACGATGGTTTTGTTTATCTTCCACTGATAATCCAAACTGAAATCATCTATGCTGCAGCAAGGCAAGCTGTGGCTTTAAGATACTTTGGTATTGTGATTGGTATGAACTGGTCAGTTTACGTGCTCTGTATGTAAAACAACAAGCTTATTATGAAGATAACTGCTGATTCACAAATTGAAATACCTGTCTATAATTTGCAAAAATTACTCCTCCTCTGCAAGGCTCGTGCAGCAAATAAAATAAGCAATAATGTGGACAATCACGACGCAAATGTAGTGTCATTTTTGTCTTTTGTTTTATTGCTGCCATATCTCCGTTCGGCATATGAAAAATTGAAAAATGAGGGAATATTATCCGGAATCACTGGTAATTATCTGGCATTGCAGGGACCATCGATGCAATTAGCCACATTTTTAGATTTATTTTGCTTCACTAATAGCTCTCGTTTTCATGTCTGTTTTGCACAGCGTCAGCCACATAACATACACCGAATGATCCGGGTAATCCCGAATAATTATCCCTTATTTTCCAGATGCCGAACGCAGGGCAAGCTGCTTTCGTGTTTATTTTGGTCATGGACGGTCTGGATCGTCTGGATCAAGGTCTGGGTCCAAGGCAGGGTCGTGATCACGGTCATTGAATACTAGGTTGTGATCACGGTCATTGTCGTGATTTTGGTTGTGTTTGATGGGTAGGTGTTTTTGGCCATATTTGGCAAGTGTTTAGATGGTATATGCGGTTTCATTTTGATAATTTTCTGCAAGTTAACATTCCTAAGAGCTTCTGAGAGCAGTCTACGTGGGTCTCGAATTGGAATTGAATGCACGCTATTGCTTTTTTATATTCTTATGCTTATAGGTACAAATCAAGGCACAACATAAAATTATTGTTACAGCCTCAGATTTAGGGCATAAACATGTATACTGTACAGATAGTATTTCGTTCACTTCACCTTCCATTTCCCCTGGTACTTGAAATTACAGGTGTCCTGTCTCAGCTACCTACTGCGTAAGTGATGCTGAACAAGCTGCGGGTGGCAGTGTATAGCGCTGTTGGTGGCCAGGAGGAGCCAATTGCTGCGGGGCCTCGACCACCAGCCGATGAGCGTCTGCCCAAGTTTCCCTACAGCCGGCCATCATTCCTGCGGCTGGCTTCAGAGGATGAGGTCCAGGTGGCGGCAGACAGGTCAATCAGACCCATCATGGTGCCCAGAGATATCTCCTGCATGCCCTGGATGGCTGGATATGCAGAGTGAGTCACTGTGATCATGAAAAGTCTTGTAACCAGGACGTTGTGCTGCATGAAATATGAAAAATACATTCTGAAAAATGACTTCACCAATGTTAAGATATTTTGTGGAGCTTTGCATAATAAGTACCTAAGTGTTAGGTGGCTGGGTAAAAAAGATTAGGAAAATTGGATTGACTGGATTTTGAAATCATGTCAGTTTTGTAGCTAGGTGTAATGAGATGTAGGGCTGGCAGTTCACATAGATTTGCTGTTTCTTTTACAGGGCAGTGAATGCTGGGAAAAGCAAGCGTAATGAGGACACTGCACATCTGCACGTGGGCTCACTGCACCGGCCGGACGAGAGAGGCTCTGACACAGGCGCTCGCTCCGTGCCCTACTACTACTTTGGCCTGTTTGATGGTCATGCTGGCCACGGGGCGTCGACGGCTGCCGCCAACCAGCTCCACCACATTGTGCATGTCAGTTGAAGGAATTAATTGGCTCATGGAACATTCCCTTGGCAGGGGGCTGTTTCCTAGCAATCTTACTCATATGTTTCTAGGAATGATATGGGGCTGTAGTGTAGCTAATGTTTGCAATGCTTATGATTCATAAATCATACCAGTTGGTTATTGATTCTAATAGTGCTGGAATCGGGCACCTGATTGATATGGATATGCTTTTATCTGTGCTACCAATATAGTTACAAAAGGAGTTAAAGTTTTCTGAAAGTCCTCGCATCAAAGACCCCAGTAAACGCCGATTTGGCACCGGCCTGCCCTAGCCGTCTGTCGCCGTTTCCGCGTTTTCTGACCGCCTCTGACGGTCGTGTCCCGCAGGAGCGGCTGATGGACATAGTGGAGCACCTGCTGCCGCCGGACGGGGCGCCCGAGCCGGCCGCGCGCACAGACTTCTTCTGGGTGTCGTCCAGAGAGCTCTCCGTGGACAAACTGGTCACGGGCGCGCTCGAGGCCGCCTTCAACGAGATGGTGAGTGACGACCGAAAACATAAAATATAACATCTGTCCTCTAAGCATATCAGTTATGTAGAGATAAGTTAACACATCAAGCAACTACATAACTTTCAGCGCCCCGCATCATGTTTATTCATTTTTTTTTTCATTCGTGCCACTCTCACATGTCGCACCCTCTGTTTTAACGCTCTGTTGACTCTCGCGGCGCCGCCACCCGCCAGGACGAGCAGATTGCCGAGGACCGCCGCCGGTATGACATGCGCGGCGGCTGCACGGCGCTGGTGGCGCTCTTCCTGCTCGGTCGGCTGTATGTGGCCAACGCAGGCGACTCCCGCGCCGTCGTCTGCCGCCGCGGCCGCGCCATGGTCGCCTCGCACGACTTCACGCCCGAGACGGAGCGGCAGCGCGTCAGACAGCTGGTCAGTGCGGATGGGGAGGGTGTCGGTGGGTCAACCAGCTGGGTAAGGGTGGCAGTGGGCAACCGGGGGTTCATGGGAGTATGCTGGGTAGCCGGTGAGCAGGCGGACACCGCCTGTTGCTGCTATATTCTAGAAAGTTTCATATTTGCTTATACTCTGATGTATTTTCGATTATGTTTGCCATTCTCCGGTAATTTGTACGCGTCTTACATAAACAGGTGCCGTGCGTTGGACACTGACCTTTCCTGTGCCATCCTCCGAATATCATCAGGCGAGTCGGCAGCCGTCACTGTGCGGCGGCGAGTTCACGCACCTCGAGTTCTGCCGGCGGCTAACGCGGCGCGACCTCGGCCAGCGCGTGCTCTACCGGGACGCCCACATGACCGGCTGGGCGTACAAGACGGTCACAGAGAGCGACATCAAGTTCCCCGTGGTCTGCGGCGAGGGCAAACGCGTAAGTGAAGACAAAAGTGGAAACAGATACGTCGCATATATTCTGAACTCGGAGCGCGGCATTGGTGATAATTATGTGTCTAAGAAAATCATGCTGATGCTTTATTCGACTGTAGATGATATTCTGTCATCGATCGAATCATTTATTAGTGTGCAGTCAGCAGTGTGCACTATATCTGATAGCACCACCCAATCAATCATTATTTATGTGTCAAAATGAACGTCGTGCCCCCGGTGGCCGTGCGAGCATCCATGACTGTTGACCGCGCCCCACCCGCCCCCAGAGCCGCGTGTGCGCCACGATTGGCGTGACTCGTGGGTTCGGCGACCACAACCTGCGCGCTCAGAACACCAACGTCTACGTGAAGCCGTTCCTCCTGTCACAACCCGAGGTAAGTTCACCGAACACCGCCGGTACGAGACTCGTCAACCATGGCTTCTCACTTTTTTGGCGTCTCGCCACGCTGCCATTTCGATTCGGTTTCTGTTCGGTTAGCTCACTACCCCTGGATGATCCTTGTCCCCTGTCTCCCGGTGCCAGGTGCTCATCATTAATCTGGAGGAGGAGGCGGCCGTGACCGAGTCGGACGTGCTGGTGATGGCCACCGACGGCCTCTGGGACGTGGTCTCCAACCAGCGGATGGCCGAGCTGGTCGAACGGGCGCTCAGCCACTTCCCGGCGCACGACCAGAGCATGCGCCGATACAGGTGAGCGGGGGCGGGGGACAGCTCAGCACTCCTGCCGGCCGGTCTGCTGCCTTATAGGAGGACCGGGTAATGCACTGCACTGATCCCGTCAGGACGTGTATATCGTAGGGTGTCGGCGGTAACTGGTACCCTGGGCTGTGTGTGCCCTTCAGCTGCATGTCGGCCAGGAGCGTAACTCTGTGTTTTTCATTGTTGACGTTTTACTGCAGTGCAGGGGGGGGGGGGGGGTGCGCTCTGGCCTTTCAACATTACGAAAAGTGGAGACATTTGCGCTAGCGCTGTCATGAGTGCCGTGAGCATTCCGAACAACAAATGCAGTTATCCCTCCAATCAGCGCAAGTCAATACTTGACGCCCATTGGCTGATAACTGATAAGCCAGTAACGATTTTGGGGGCCAGAACGTTAGAGGTAACCTATGGCAGCATGGGCGTTCAGCTTAGGACTTGATTTTGATATTATTTAGGCCAGTCTGATAAAAACTTGGATCGCTTATGAAAGCTGCAAGTCAATCTTGGAGTGGTCCAACAAGTTTTTTTTCTGAAATAATTCGTTCAAAAATGCACAGTGCATATAAATAAATGAGTTAGACAGGAAGCAGTTGGCAGGATTTAATGGCAGGAGTTAGACAGGAAATGAGACAGGAGGGAAAATGAGTTATTAGATGCATACTCATGCCAAATGTGCCCCGTTACCATGGCGACCCGAGTTTGTTAACAGTATAGTAGACAAGCGGTTGTGCCACTTGCTCCGCGACGTGGTCATAAAATGCGGCAGCAGCCAATTTGCTTTCGAACGGTGTTCGTTTCAAATTGATGTGTCGCCTGTAAGCAGAGATACAGACGGATACGCGGAGAGGAAAATGTAGAACGAAAGAACTGTTCGGAGGGCTAAGTTGGATAAAATTTGGGTGATACGGGTCAAGTCAGGGCAAGGTGGTTATCCCCTCTCACATTGGGTCAGGCCAGGTCACCTTCGGTCATGCCAGGTCGTAAAGGTTACCTCGTGTCACATTGGATCAGTGTGGACCACACTTCTCCTACTTCTACCCCTACCACTAACGCCTGCCACTACCCATAACGCTACTCCTACAAAAAAAAAAAACAACAACAACAACAAAAACAAAAAAGGAATGATTCGCGTTTGATTCAGCCAAAACGAGTGAACGATTCTTTTTTCGATTCAATTAAAAAATCCCTGATTCAGGAATAGTATTGTGTTTGTTGTGCTCTTTTTGTTGTCATGCAATTATCATCACATGGCAGTATCGTTGATAATGAACTACGTTAACTTCACTTTTTTAGTTCATGAACTTTTTTTATTCAAACCCTGATTCCCAATGCGTTTGATTCAATCATGGCTTGTGAATCGAACAATCCTGACGGTGAATCAAACCTTTTTGATTCAACAAATTTTGTTTGATTCAATATTCAATCCAATCGATTCAATCACGGGTGAATCGAACA